ATAAAAGAGAAAAATAATTTGACGGTGAATCTAAAGCAGGTGGTTTAAAGGCCAAGAGAAAGGGTGGAATCCAGTGTTTTGGTTGTCATGAGTTTGGCCATATCAAAAGATATTGCCCTCATCGAAAGAAAAATGATGAGAATGACTATGATAATGTTGTTGGATATGCATAAAGTGGAGATATTCTCACAATCTCCAAAGGTAATAATACTTCTTCTCGTGATGGTTGGATTTTAGATTCTGGATGTGTTTCACATGTTTGCTCCAAGTTAGATTATTTTGATACTCTCCAAAGAAAGAAGACAGGTTTTATGTTCTTAGGTGATGGATCTACTTATCAAGTCAAAGGTGTTGGAGTGGTGAAAATCAAAATGTTGAATGGAGAGATTCGTTCTTTGGGTGGTGTGGCTTATGTCCCAAAGTTACGAAGGAATCTAATTTCTTTGAGCCAATTGGACTCCGAGGGTTACTATTTTTCGCTGCAGGTGGAGTCTTGAAAATCACACATGGCGAGATGGTCTTGTTGATGGGGAAGAAGTATGGTAATCTGTACCATTTGAATACCTCAATGGATTGGGAGCGGAAAGGGATCCAAGAATGCTCTCAAATTACAAATGGTGGTGAGAGGAAAAATCCTACTATGGGAGAGGGTGAATTGAGGCCCCTCTCGCGAGTCAACTAGATGTTGGACTCTGTTAGCTACACACGTTCATTTGCCGATTGAATTAATTGAAACCAAAACCGTATTGATTCGGGTGTGTAGTTAGGCACCAAGGTACTTGGTGGAAAAAGGCAAATGGAGTTTTTTGGATGGTTTGCTGTGTTTACTAAAAGAAATTTTCGCCAAGGTGGAGATTTGTTAGGAATTGGCTTAATTTCTTTTAGGTAAAATTCCTGTTTTGTGTAGAAGTAACTAGTTTCCTAATTGGATTTAGTTACTTGAAGTAGTAGTCAAGTAAATTCCTATTTAGCTAAATGCTATTTTCTACTCTATATAAGTTTAGGAAATAGTATTGGTTTTTAATTGTTATTTGATTTTTTGGCAGTAATGTTCTCTATAAATAAGAGATTGACATACTACAAAGATATACAAGAAAGGAGTGAGAGAGTTCTTAGTGGGTGAGAGGGTAATACAAGAGTTGGGGCTTGGGAATCAAGTTGTAATCTTGTGGTGTTTTTCTCATAGTAAGAACAAGTTTTTCTCTCCGTGGATGTAGGTTTGGTGATTAAACCGAATCACGTTAATTCTTGTGTGTTGTTCATCGTTCATGCTAGATATTGTTTTCTATTAAATTGTTGGTCTTTTCCTTTTCAAATAATTGGTCTGATACCCTAACAAGTAGTATCAGAGCCGATGGTTCGGTTGGGCAGTGACTCCAGGATAAAAAGCCAGTGGGAGTGGTAAGGTGTGGCTTGGATAAGAGCGGGGAAAAAAAAATCATGCAGATCTACAGTGAAACAAGGGCATGTGGGCTCTTGAGTAAGAATCGTACACTCCAGATTGAAGTAAACTTGATGGAGTGGATGGGCTAGGGAGAGAGGTTCGATGTGGAAGAGATTCACAATTGAGGGGGAGATTGTTGGGATATCAAGTGTGAATTAATATCCCACATCGGAAAAGAGATGAGTAGAATGAGAAACATATAAGTGGGAATGATCCATAGACCTAAGGCCTTAAGGTTTTGGGTTGGATGTGGTGTCAAACCCATGGTTGTGATTCCCATTCTAGCTCATGATTAAATTTTTCCCGAGTTTGACTCTCTCAGAGCCCAACATGTCTTCTAGTTCTGCATATCAAATATAGCAGTGGAATTGTAGAGGAATTACAGTAAACGAATAATTATAGTATGTAGTATCCAAATTGATCTAACACTTTTTCAACACAATTATTATTAATAAAAGCAAGAGGAGTCAAGCTAGCTAGTAGCAGCTAGCATACTGCTCTTACAAAGTACCAGAGGACAAAACGATCGCTAAACCTACAAGTTGTCAATAAACTCTATCACACCTAAGAATAAATGTACATTGAAAAACACCATTTCATAATGAAGGATGATGATTGATGGCTGACAACCTCAAATCCACAGAGGCCGAATAATGGATGGGTATCATGAATGAAAGGCTTGCTAGTGAAGAACAAAATGAGGAAAGCAAAACGTAACTAATTTTGCATGGACATTGTACTAAAACGTGGAACGCATAGGAAGGACTGGCTTCCAATAATTTACAAAGGACTAGTCCCAATATTCTGTTGATGCACATTAGTTTAGGATGGACCAGGAAGCACAATAATTTAATTAGGATGGAGAAGACTGACGTGACTGTTAATTTTGATTGAGAAATTATTTTTACTTAACAATCACGTGTCAAACACGTGACTTTTTCCATTCAAATTAAGCAATTTATCGTTTTTAGACTAAATACGATAAAATATAATTAATTCATGTATTAAATATGGTGTATCTAAAAGTTTGAGAATGAAATGTGTCAATAACCCAAAATTTAGGGACGAAAAGTGGATTTTTCCCCTCATCAATTACTTCTTCACTGAATTTGATTATCAACGAGATCATGTACATGCTGTATTCCAGGCAATGGTGATTTCTAGAACACGTCCGAAAACATTTTGAACCCAAATTTAGAGTACTAAACTAAAATCATGTTCTTTTGTCCTATATTTTAAGTAACTAGTATAAGAGAGCGTCCGTTGCATGTTGTTTGTATTCCTTTTTGTGATATTTAGTCGCTAAGTTTTTTCTCGTGATTACTAGAAATAATAGAGATATTAAGGATTTAAAGTGTCGTATCAAAATAATATTCTCCTTCAATAAAACATAAAAAAAATACAAACTTTAAATGATTTTCAATCTCATTAGAAAGCGTAGAATATCAATATCAATCTAAACTAAAATCCAGCAGATAAACTACTCACATAAAACTCTCCAAACAAACTCCTCCAAAACTTTAATGGAATTTTAACATACTTGACAACCATTTTATTGAGTTTGGTGCACCCATATGCTGAACACTCAAACTGAAAGTACTAATTCACGAACGACATATACTACTTTTTGTCTAGAAATTTGCATGCAGGCTTAAAACCATCAACGCAAATTCGCAAAAGTTGATATATTTAACAAAGAAAAAGGTTCTATCACTGTGGTCCTCTCAGGAGGTACCCTTATCGATACCTATATACATGTGGTACATAATCAACAAATATGAAAGAATCATTTGAAATCTAGCAAATCATGCAAGCAAGAATTTAATGTCGTTACCTACCCGCCAAAAAAAAGAAATTAATGTTGTCTTCTTATGTGTTAATGTAATACAACATGATGGTTCAGTTTTTATGTATTGATTGCTTGATTAATGTTGATATGGACAACGAATTAGTTTGGATAGCAAATTATTTATACAAATTTATCTGCTTGCATCATAAATATATTTTTATCTTACTGGCATCACATCAGAAAAGTGCTGCACTATTTTTTTAAAAAATTATTTCAAATAATCTTCTATCTAAACACAGTCGCATCGGTCAAAATGGAATCTATTTTCATTGAAAAGTACTACACTATGTTTTTTTTTAAAAAAAATTATTCCAAATAATCTCCTATCCTAACATAGTTGCATTGGTCAAAATGGAGTATATTTTCGTTGGATGAGAGGCTAGTTCCTCTGGCGAATACCTTTATGCGCAAAAGATAGAGTTCCTAAATTCATGTAAAACTTTACAAAACTGTCTACGGACACAGCGTGGCCAATTGAGGTCCTCAATTCATGCAAAACTAACTCTGGGCAAATCTATCATTTTGGCTTAATTCCCATTAAAAGAATCCAAACTCCCTACTTATGACTTTGGACAAAATTTTACTCCATCCTTGAATATCAAATCTTTCGCCAATTATATAGCAAATTTTCCATTATAAATATCTGAACTATAAAAAAAGATTTCCTTCAAAAAAAAATAGTTTCAGGCCACATTGACCAAAGTTGCTATTGAAATGTTTTTGTGAATAAAAATAGTCCATTTTTTACGGTGTAAACTTAAAAAGTTTAAAATCAAGATGAGTGACTTAAAATTCATTAGAAGTACAATATTTAGGATGGTCTGGTCCCAAAATTCTATGCAACAAGTTAAGAATAGTCACATTCGTGGGGTATGGTGACGTTGGCGTCAACTTGAGGGACTCGTGCCAGTCCAATAATTACAAAGGGCTTTTTTCTGAAGGTAATTTGCGAAGTACAGGTCCCAAAATTATGTTGAAGCAGAATAATTTAGGAAGGACCAGGAAGCACAATAATTTAATTAGGATGGACTGGTCCCAAAATTATTTGGAAGTATAATATGTAGGATGGACTGGTCCCAAAATTCTGTGAGATAAGATAACAATAGTCGCATTCGCGGGGTACCGTGATGTTAGCATCAATTTGAGGGACTTCGAGCCTGGACCCGAATGATGTAATACTTCTTGAATATTTTGTAATTTTTTGTGAATTATTTATAAAATTTTATATCAAAACACACAATCAGGATGCATAAGATCCATATGAACGATAATAAAATATCACACTCATGTTGTAAGCTTGACAACTATTTAATTGTCAAACTCCTCTAAAATATAAAATATCAAACTCCTCCAAAAATTTAACGGAATTTTAAAACTCCTCCAACGACATATACTACTTTTTGTATAGAAATTCACATGCAAGATTAAAGCCATCAACGGAAATTCGCAAAAGTTGATATATTCAACAAAGAAAAAGGTTCTTTCACTGTGGTCCTTTCGGGAGGTACCCTTATCCATACCATATATATATATGTGTGTGTGTGTGTGTGGGGGGGGGGGGGTATATAATCAACAATATGAAAGAATCATTTAAAATCTAGCAAAGCAAGAAATTAATGTTGTGGCTTCCAATAATTTACAAAGGACAGGTCCCAAAATTCTGTTGAAGCACAATAATTTAGGATGGACTGGTCCCACAATAATTGCTCCTGGTGGTGGCACGATCAGAGACTCTCACTCTTTCCCCTTCTCGGTCTATATAAGAATTTAGGCATAAGCCCAAAGCCATCTCAAATCAAAGGCAAACTTTGGAAGACAAGGAAATCATGGCAATCAACAAGATTGGTGCAATGGCTATTCTTTTTTGTGGTATGTACAATTTTATTCTTTATATCAAAATAAAAAGAGAAGTATTCACCCCATATCTATATATATATATATATATATATCAAAAAATGAAAACTAATTCATCCCATCTCTCAATTGATTTAAAATGATTTTGGTACTGAAAACAGGGATGATCCTTCTGGGAGCAAATGTGGAGGTCACGGCCGTCAGGCCCGGGCCGGAGCAGATTTGCCCACTCTATTGCATAGTTGGGATCGAGTACGTGGACTGTGATGGAGAGAAGACCTACACAGACTGCACCAATTGCTGCTTCGAGAACGGCTGCACTCTTCACTTTAAAGATGGAACTTCATACTTTTGTACTTGGCCGGCTAAGCAAGAATTGGGGTTTGGTAAAGGAGTTTACAAGATATAGTACTCTAAACGAGTACTAAATGACGGGTATAATATTAATATACGCCCTTTTTAGTATGTATTTCGGTTTCCTCGAGGGTGGGATATAACCATGCCAAGTAATATATCAGTACCGACAGTACGTGCTTCATGAGATAGTGAATCATGATGTTCAATAAAATGAGTACTTTTCTTAACAGAAGCCACGTGTCGTGCATAATGAAATTCGTCATACATCACCTTGAATGATTAATTACATCTCGATAAACTGTACAGCTTCTCCAATTGAATTTTGTCCCATTAATGTAACTCTTACAATATATGCTGTAAACTAACATAATTTCAGAATAATTAAAATTTGTCAACTCATGATACAGAATAAATTAGAGCAAAATTTACGATTAATATTATGCCAACCAAGCTAAATTGGATGAAACTCAACTTAAGAAACCTATGTTCGACAAAAGTTTCAAGAACTTGGCGATCCTTTCATTTTACTTGATCCACCAACTTGACCAATTTGACCAATTCTCCAAGACAAAAAGAAGTATCCTTTTATACTGGATTTTTTTTTTAAAAATCAAAAATCAAAAAACATTTTCAGCTCTACGGAAGATTTACTTGATTTTGACTCTAAATTAACATTAGAAGAATATGAGGAAGAAAATTAGCTTTATTCAATGTGACGAATTCATGCATAACTTCTTACTAAATTAATTCCGGGCAAATTACTTAACACAGGCTTATTAAACTTTTTATTTTCCTTTTTCTCTATAAGATTTAGAGTTTTCCTTAAAAATAAGACTAAAAAAAATTACGAACTTGTGGTGGAAAAAAAGGATAAACTGCTTTCTTAGTGACATAAGGGAATATTATTTTTTATATTCCCCTATGGTTAAATATTTTTTATATAACCCCTTAGGGTTTCAAAAGTTATATATAGCCCCTTATGATTTGGATTAAAGTGTCAAAATGACGGAAATAGGCATTCGTAGCAAAACTTCTAAAAATATTAAAATTACCCTTATAAATATATGATACACTAATCTCGTATGGTTTTTATGTTTTACTATATAACTCCTTTATGGTTTAAAACTTTATCAATATAACTCCCTTAAGGTTTTCAAAATATACACATAAACCGCCTTGGTTAATAAATAATTTTTAACTTTATGTAAGGATATTTTTAATATTTTAGGTGACTCCATTACAAATGATCATTTTCATAATTTTGACACTTTAATTTAAATCATGAGAGAGTTATATATAGTTTCTAAAGTTATAAAGGGGTTATGTAAAAAAACACTAAATCACAGGTGATAAAGTGGAATTTGCCCTACATTTGTCGATGACCAAGCCTAAACTTTAACGGAGCATTGAGAAAATCTGGGCACGGCGGTTTGGTTTCTAAAGCATCAATGAATTTCATTTTTCCTTTCCTTGATAGGGGTGGGATCCCAAAATAATAATGTGACGTGGCGGTGAACCAGCAATAATAATTTCATTTTTTTTGGCTTCCGTGTTAAGAGTGGGGACACAAATGATAATGTGCCTGGACTCATACAAAACCATTGTTTTGAAACTCAAACTAGTGATTAAACTAGTAAAGTAGTTAACTTCCATCGTTTCCGGAAATAAAAAAAAGATTAAACTAGTAAAGTAGTCGGATCAGGTTCAATCAGTTCAATCCCGAGTCATTGATTTTTTATTTTTAAAATAAAAAATACCAAATAAGAAAAAATGTGTAAAATCAACACAAAAATCCTAAATTTTCTAATGTTATCTAGGGAAGATTTACTGGTCTAGTACCCTCCAATTCATCTACCAAATAAAAGAAAAAGTATTTCCTAAAAAAATAAAGAATCAACAAAATTATGAACAAATCTATCCAATATCTAAAATTGAACAAAGAAGAGTTTAACTTTCCCAACTCAAAAAGAAATCTGATAGGATTTGTAAAATTAAGTGCAAGGAAACGGTAGAAAAAATCATGGATATGAAAACTAAAGGGTGCAAAAAATATAGACAAGAAAGAGAATTTCAAAAATATTAGGGGCAACTTTGATAAGAATGAGAATTTTAAATATTTCAAGGGTGCAAAAAGGACAACTTAAAAATTTTCAAAAATTCTATGCCTAAAACAAAAATTTCTCAAAGTCGGGAGGGCAATTGGTCACCCTCAACTCCATTTGCCTCTGCCTCTATTATTAATGCATCAGCTTCTGCTGGTAGGTTTTCTTGAGGCTGGCACCTTTGCTATTGCTCCTCCTTCTATGACCGCTGCAAATCATTGAGCCAGTTCAGTTTAATAGTACTAAAAAATAATACCAATTATAAGAAAAAAGATATATAAATTTTATATACACTAACAGAATATATATAAATGGGGTTAGACATATATCATGTATGTAAAATATAATAGTTAACTTGAAATTGTCCACAAAAATGAATTTATATGAATTATCCACAAAAATCATAGATATCCATTTACTTAAAAACCAAATAAAAGAAACCGTATTTCTTGTTGCATGTTTTTAAACTCTATCTCATTCCTCTGTTCTTTAGTGTTGGCCTCCTCCGCATTTAGTCCACTGCCCTTATGAACACGTTGATGATGATGGCAACTAGCAACCGCCATCAAATCTTAAACGTGGTGTCTCAATTTCTGCTAATTCAATGATGTACTAGTTCCGACCTTTTAACTCTTTTACCGCAGTGAAAAAGTTTAATTTTGGACAGAAAATAAAGAGAGCAACTAGTGCCTTGCCTGCTTAAGTATGTGCTCAGAAGTGACAAATAAAGAAAGACAGCCTTTACCTTTCCAGTATGACTAAATGCTTGTGTTCCATTCTAGTTTTAAGCCAACTTAAGGATTAAGGCTTAATGGGGTGGGAGATTAAGAGTTTAAATATTACCTCCTATTAATTCAAAAAAAATTCATACGAGTGTGGTTTAGTCCTCCATAGGCCCATTTGGACCTCCCTCCTTAGATTATGATGTGATTCAGTCCCCATTAATTCCCTATTAATTACCACATGGTTATTTGTACAACAATCTTCATGGTTAGTTCCAATTATTTTTGTCATTTATTGATTTTTTGTCATTTTCAACACCTAAAATTTAGAAGTACATAAAAAAGTATCTTCATATTACAAGAAATGATAATACAAAAAAAAAGTAACCAAAATATTTAAATGGATTATAAATGGATAATTGGTTTTTATTTAATCCATTTAGATCCATTTAATAAATGGATCTAAATGAATTGCATAAATTTCATCCACCATCCATTAAATCAAAACCAATTATGAATCATTTATTCATATTGCCACCTCTAGCCCTGCTCATTTGGTGACGAGAATTCAAAAGTTTTTAGGAATATTTGAAAAGAAACCAATAATGGCTGGGTATCGCAAATGAAAAGCAGACTGGGCCGACTGGCTTCCAACAATTTACAAAGGGCGGGTCCCAAAATTCTGTTGAAGCACAATAATTTAGGATGGACTGGTCCCAAAACTCTAAGGAAGATACAATTTTGGATGGACCCAGAAGTAAAATAATTTAGGATGGACTGGTCCCACAATAATTGCTCCTGGTGTTGGCACGATCAGAGACTCTCACTCTTTCCCCTTCTCGGTCTATATAAGAATTTAGGTATGAGCCCAAAGCCATCTCAAATCAAAGGCAAACTTTTGGAAGACAAGGAAATCATGGCAATCAACAAGATTGGTGCAATGGCTCTTCTTTTTTGTGGTATGTACAATTTTATTCTTTTGTATATGAGTTGAACCTGTTGGGGCAATTTTAAAAAATAAAAAGAGAACCATTCATCCCATCTAAAAAATAAAAAATAAAAAATTGAGCATCTCCCAAAATTTATAAGGATGATTTTTCAAAATATTTGCGCATCACCCCATACGTGATTTGGTTGGCACATGATTTAAAATGATTTTGGTACTGAAAACAGGAATGATGCTTCTGGGAGCAAATGTGGAAGGTAGTATAGAGATAGCAAAGTATATATTTGGTTTGGTTGATAGATGCCTTATATATAGGCTAAGAAATTAGGAATATTAAAATATCCAACACCTATTGTCTGGCAACAATTGCTTTTGCATAGGAATCCTTAATCTGAATTGTTTTGGGACCAATCTGGGTTATCCTACCAGAATTCAGTTTGAGCAATAAGGCTAGTGCATTGAGCGAGCTCATGTGCAGGTCTAGAAGACTAGAACAACATTTCTCAGCCTAAAAAAACACCTAAACTTGCAACTGATGAAGGCAATTTCAATGTCATATACTGAAGGGCCCAATGCAGATAGAATTAGAAAAACTGCAACATTGCCTTTGGTCAAAAGTTGATTGTAGGCTTGCAGGATATTGTTGCATTGTGAGTTAGACAAAAGCCATCCATGTAGGCAAAAGAAAGCCACTACTTCTCACGACTTTGGGCGTGTTTTTGTGTTAGGTGGACAAATTGTCAAGGTTCAATTTTACAGCTTAAACATGGGAATTGTTAATTTGAACCGGATTTATACACTACTAGAAAAATAGCTTTTAGTGACACTTGTATTATGACATTTTTTCCTAAACGTCATAATAGGGTGATAACATGACAGTCAGTCAGGAGTGTCATTAAAAAGGTGCCAAAAATAGACAAAACTACACCGTATCACCCTTAATTTTGAAAATTGGCTCTATGTTTTAGCGCGTGATTATTTTCACCAAAAATTCTAATATTTCCTCCCTTTTCTTACTTACCACATCTCATCACATCTCTCCTCACCCGCTGCATTTTATCTCTTTTTGTATTGTGACTTTTCCCTCCCTCTCTTGTTTCTCTCAATTTAGGGCAAATTTAGCCAATTTTCTTGCCAATCTGCTAATTTTTCAAGGAGGAAGCAACTAGGATTCATCCCACCGATGGAGGTATGATGATTAAGATGTTTGTTTAGTTTACTGAATATCAATGATTCAATTTTTTGTTAACATCAAGGTTGTTTTCTTTTTGATTTCTTGTATTTAAGAGATAATTTTAACTTTAGGTCTAAATGGATGATGTCGAAAGATAATTGTCTTTTGGATGCCGTCGAAAGATTCCAAGAAAATGTTATAGCCTTCTTTAGCATCAGTTTGGTAGCATCTGTGACCCACCACATGTTTGATAAATTGACTAAATGAGTTTTTCATTGCTTGCCAAAT